TCAATTTCAGGATCTCTTTCTTTCACTAACACTTAGTTCGTTGACAATAATAATTCATATTGTATAATATTTACAAATATATATATATATATATACAGTGCCAACAAAATAAGGAAATTGAATTCGTCTTCGAGTTTTCATTTTGCTGAAGCAGTGTTCAACAAGACATTTAAATAGGCGTTTTCGACTGTTTCCCATTGACTTTAGTTACTTTCCTTCACTCCACTGAGCTCCTATGAAGAGTATATATTTGGGAGAAAATCTTGGTCTACAACACTCAAAGATTGTATGCACTAAGTAGTAGAAAAAACATTGAAATAAGGCGCAAAATGAGTGAGGTAAGTAAATATCATGTTTGGTCCTTAAATTCATTTTCAATCCATTGATAAAAATATTCATTAACATCCATCTTCCCTGCTTGGTGTGACAGTGATAGACGCAAGAAGAAGTTGTAATGGCTGGAACAAGGGAGACCCGATTCAGGCTTAAACTCAATGTATATATAGCTAATAGTTGCATGCATATAATTTCTCAGAAATATCATATTCATTCTTAACATGTCTCCCATGTATTTACTTAACTGATATTAGTTGTTCACCAATTTTGTTCTAGCAAGGCTCCATAAAGGATGAAACCGAAAGCTGCAGCTACCAAGGCGAGGATGAGCTGCGTAAGGGAAGAAACATCACAAATGGTTTTTGCAATAGAAGAAATAAAACTTGAGTTTGATCTGTTGAAGGCCTCACTCCACCAACGTTATCAAGATTATTCTTCAACTCTAATTGTCTGAGGATACAAAAAGACCAGCTACTTTATTTTGATGTTGTGTTGATATGTTCCTGTCATCCTAGTTCAATTTGCGTCTCTTTATGTACTAGAGTCTAGAGCCCAATTGCCATGAGCCTTTAGGATTAGAGGTGTGTTTTTGGGTTGTAGTTTTTGACTGGTGTTTTTAGGCCGAATAATTGAACTACAAATTTTGGACTATTGTCTCACTTCCTGTAAACACTGCATTTCTTAGTTTTATTTACTTTAATTGAGTAAATGTATATTACTTCATACACTTTCTTGAATAAAAAAATGATAATCAATGAAAATTAAGCAACATCATATTATAGGCCATTCTCTTCAAAGCATGGTACTTTCTCTAGGGTTTGCGGAAATTTATAGGACAGAGAAACTTTGGATTGTAGTCGCTACTTGAATTTCTGTTAATCCATTAATGTTTTTCTATTCAATTGTCTCTTAATTCTAATGATCATAGATGAGTTTACTGATGCATTTAACAATCTGATTTAATAGTTAATTAGGCATCCTCCTTGCTCTTGTAAGTTTTTCCCTACTCTAGAGTTGCTTTTCTAGCCTGTTAAAATGGTTGGACATGGGTAGATAAACTTATTTTACTAAAAGAATTGGCAGTCAGCCAATCAGTACACATTTTATGGTCTTAAGAGATTGACAATCAAAATTGAAAATCTTCATACTTTCCTGAGTTATATATCATGGTTGTCATATATATAGTGACTTTCTATTCGACTTACATTTAAACTTCATGGATTGTTTTGGGTTCCGAGCCACCATTCAGGGCGAAGGGATTTTGAGTTTTCCGTGATCAAGACGTTCCCCAATTTTTCATATATGAGTGTTACGGCCGTAAGTGTATGATTGGGAGAGGGTCGCATATGGGTTGAAAGATCCAAAAAGAGCGTGTGAATCAGATGATTGAAGATCACAAGCCTTTTCATGAAAAGCCCCTTCTTGATGCCAAGTGCTTCAACTAATGTTCACCATCTCTCTGGTTATAACATCTAGTTTCTCCCTTCTTTTAGTTCTTTGCTTCTAGTTCTCCATGTCTTTGTTTGGAGTATCATGTAGTAGACTTGTAACTCTTTGTCTCATTTTTTGGATGAATATCTATGTCATGGTAATTTTTGGTTTTTATAATTAAGAAAAATGATTGGTACACATTGGGTTTAACATACTTTTTAATATTTGTCTTAATTTAATTATTAAAATATAATATAAATATAGTTGATTAAATTGATTCCTGTATATTGTATACATGATTGTATTTTAAGTTTATTTGTTTTTAATTTTATACAAAAAATAATAATTTTTTAATAAACATGTTAGGTAGTATATTGATTCAAAATATCTCAATCACTGTTCATTAATTAAATCAAATAAAAAACCTCCATTCCTATAATCCTTTCTATAACACTATTCACAAGTGAATGGTCCAATTGATGTTAAATTTCAACAAGTTGTTATCTAGTATAGCCAACAAAAGCCCAAAAAAGAATGAAGAAAATACTTATTTAAAGATTTTTTTTTTTTTTGAATATTAGGGATTAGAATCTAACCTTACATTTCAAGTTTAACATGAAAAGTCTCTTATAAATGGATAATAACCATTAGGGTATAAAGACGTTATAAAAAATGATCATTTTTTAGTTTTATGGTACATTAAATAATAAATTATACAATATAAAACAGTTTCCTTCTAATTAATGAAATCTCTTCACACCTAACTTAATATTTAAATTAAAAACCGCAAACATAAACGCCTAAAATTTTAACTTCTAAAATATCCTAAAGGGACAGAGTGAGCAGGTTCTAAACTACTGTGTTATCCTTTTGTTTGGGGCTAACGGACAATATCACTGAGTCAGCTTTAATCGTCCAAGCCTCCAAGGTTTATATAAAAATTTTAAAACTGGTGTCTGTGACTCTGTGTTCGGATATGGAATTTATCTCACGTTCAAGGTTTGGTGAATGTATACTTAAATTGGGTTTGTTTACTCATGCCCATTGATCGCGTTGATTTTTATGGTGCATGTATGTAGCTTTTTTTTCCTTTTGTCTTTTCTAGTTAAAAGTTCTAGTTGTTTTTGGCCGAAGGCAGTAATATTTCATTGTTACTAGTACGAAGTTGGTCATGTAGAATTATAGGGTTAGATACAGATAAAAGGGTCAAAGGTCCGAAAGATAAAGTTATGAATTTTTTTTTTTTTAATTTTACCCAGAGAAAAAGTTATGGCAGAAAAGAGTAAGAATTTGGGATGGGAGAAATATTTCATAAAATTTTTGAACGAAAGTAAATTCTTTAAAAGGGTCATGTATAGTCTAAGGTCCAAAAAACAAAGTTATTTATTTTTAGTTATTAATTTTAGAATTAAGATGTTACATTAATTTAGAATTAAATCTCATTAAATTTTATAAAAAAAAATTTATAATATTTATTTTTTATTTATAAAATTTAATTTTAAAAAAAATCGAAGTGACACTCGTCATATTGTACACGCGGGCATGATCCCTGCGCGTTTAGATTTTTAGGCAAAAATGCAAATAAGCCCTTGTACTTAGGGGTCATTGGCAGATCGGCCATTTTTTGTGGAAAACGAACCCTTAAATTCTTTGATTGTGACATCTAACTCCTTACTTAATGGATGAGCCAGTACTTTGTTGTAAGTTAACGAAGCACTTGTTAGGGTGTGCTCCATGGTCAAGCTGGCGATTATGTTTATGTGGCCTTCAATTAATGGGCTGACATGGCAACTGGGACCTGCTTTAAACTTAAATAATAAAAATATAAATAAAAAGAAGAAAAAAAATTGAACTTTCTACATAAAATACACATTCCTTTAAGCTCACAAAATGTGCCACTTAATTTTCATTTCACCAAGAAAAGTGAAAGGCTTAATTCAATGATTAGTCTATTAATTATTAACTTAATTTCATTTTAATTTAAAAAGTTAGTTTCTTTGCTAGATGGTCTATAAATTTTGTAAAATATTTCAAAATAATCTATTATACAGAACTTCTATTAATTTTAACGAAAAGATAATAGAAAAGTTTAAATCAAATTAAAACACAATACTTCTTTAAATTTTGGGAAAGTAATACTATAATTCCAATAAAATATATATGATTACTTAAGAAGTATTTTATAGAGATTAATTAACTAAAATTTGTGTTGAAATTGAGAAACAAGCTCAAAAGAAAGAAACTTGGTAAGGAAGAAAGAAATCTTTGAAAATCTAATTCCAACTAACAAATAGTCAACAACATGCTGTGTAAACTATTAAAGTATGACAATAATTGAGTTTTTCACTACAAAGAAGAATTGTCAAAAGAAAAAACTAAAATTATATATGATAAACATTTTAGCTTTTCAGATAATAAAAAGAAACTTATCATTCTTACAAAGTTAGTTTTCTCCTAAAGTTAATTTTTTAAGAAGTAAAAGTTTACAAAGATATAATTGAAGATCAATTTAACCAAATAGAATAAAATTGTCATTAAAAAGTTAACAAATCATATTAAACTAAAATAAAAGTGAAAAATAATAGATGGATTAATTTGAAAGTATCTAAAGATCATAGACTTAACAAAAAAAATACAAAAATTATTAGATTGTTTGTTAAATAAGCTATAAATGAAAAGTAAAAACCTATAGTTAGTATGTTGTAATTGATGAATGTAAGGATTTGCTTGTCATAAAAATTTAACGGTAGATTTGCCACCAATTGTTAAGTATAGGGGCTTATTTTTCTCTTTTTAAGTTATAGCCACTGCCGATAATGTTAAACTCACCAAAATTGATAACATATATTTTAAAAAAAATATTAATTTTATTTAATTTTATTGATAAAAATAATTATTAATTATTAATTATAATTAATAATTAATAAAATAATTAATATTTTTAAATATTATTTAAAAAATAAATTAAAACTTAATAATTTGAATATTTTATATGTCAATAATAACCCCATCCTTTTCTTAATAGTAGATTGCTAACAGGTGAAAGATGTCCACATCACAGCAACCTCACCAATTCAGCCCCTATTCTTAGCAGTCGCCCCCATGATTTTATGCCTTTGGCCTTTTGTTGCCCTTTAATTAGTTTAATTTACACTTACTTGGCCCAAACGTTTACGCCACCTATCAAACGGACAATCACGGTTCAGACAAACGTTTGCGCCATCAATCAAAAGGACAATACTCAGACGTGTAATTAACACCTGTTTCAAATGTATTGGATCCGTATTTTGAGTGGATTACGAGTCAGAAAATACCCCTTTTCTTTTCTCTCCATTGGCCTTGCTCAATCAACCCAACAGAAGCACTACTTCCTGAAGAGTATATATTTTGGTGTGTGCTCAATTCAAAGGTTTGTATGTCCAATCGTAGAGATTGAAACAAGGCTACGTACGTACCAAATTCAGTCAGGTAAAGTAAATAGTGCTATCAACTTTTAATTCTTCTTCTTCTTTTTCATTTTTCTCTCAAATTCATTTCCATTAATTCCCTCTATATATCATGCATCAACATTTATCGATCTTCTCCATTAGGCACCACAGAGACGCAAGGAGAAGTTGAAATTAATGGCTGGAACGAGGGATACCCATAATGGAAGATTGAAGCGTAAGCTCAAGGTATAAATATATATATATATATACGTTTATTTATTTCTTAAATCGGGTCTTTACAAAATTACTTACTTATTGATGTCTAAAAGAAGACTCTGAAGAAGATGAAAGCAAAAGCTGCAGCGAAGAGGGCGGAGATGTTCCGCCTTGGAGAAGAAACGACAGAAATAATAGCTGCAATGGAAGAGAAGAAATTTGAGCTGGAGCTGTTGAAGATGTCACTGCACCAGCAGTCTGAGGACATGCTTTTTATCTCAGAAATAGTGGATAATATTACCGACATTATGCTTTAGATTTAATTAGCTAGCCAATGATATTAGAAGACCAAGTTACTTTGCTTGTGTGATGTTCTAGTTGGGTCATGGAACTTAATTATCCTAGTACGTACATGGTTAAGTCCAAGGTTTGGTGTGATTTTAATAATAAAAAATTAGTAAAAGTGGTGTCTCTTTATGTACTCAAGTAGTCAAGTCATGTCAAGCATGTTCGGTTTAGGTCGTTTGGAGTTATGTGTTTAGGTTTGTGTTGTTGATCAATGATCACTAGGTAGTGGTCTTTTATCTTATTGTTATTATATTATGTTGAACAACTTATTTTAAGTTATTTTCTTCGGAAAATTAATTTTTTCATATTTGTGCGTATTTTGTAATTTGATTTAAATTGACTTTTATAATTTACTATGATTGATTTTTATGTTGGACAACAAAAAAAAGGGAAGACTTTTAGAGTAATTGATTAAATTATTAGCATAAAAGTGTTTTATTAACCATATGAATATAATTAAAACCTTTATTCTCTTTTCTCATGAAGATTTCAACCAGTTGGTATGCTCTATAAAAAAAATTATACAAGAAAGTTTATAAAGATGGAATTCCATCTTGACTCTTTTTGACATAAATAACACATATTTTTAATTGAATAATGATAGTTAAGATTAATTTTTAGGATCAAAATTTAAGACCAACTTATGATAATTATTGATGATAGTGTTAGTTTTATGTAGATCCATGCATATGATTAACAGGTTTTTTTTTTTTTTTTTGACACTAGGGGAAATTGAGGAAAGGGCGTAATTGTCTGAGTTAGAACTTAAGACTTAGATGTTCAGACATTGTTTCTCATGGGAATAACTAGTGGGCCACTTAGTGCTGGACATATAATTAACAGTTAAAATAATTTAAACTTTATATTAAAATAATTAAAGGTTATTTTATGTATGTTAAAATAATTTTGAATAAAAATTTAGTCTCAAGTATAATTACTCTTTTTTTGGTTGTTGTTGAAAGGAAATCATGTGATTTCATTAAAATAGGAAAGTGAAACAGAGATTACAACTAGTTACAATTCCTGGAATGGCAATTCGGGCAACACGAGCCATCCCTATAATTTATAACATCTAATACTAGGTGATCAAGGCTTGTACAAATCATACAATGAGGAACGAGAAGTCACCTAGCACTAATGATCAAAGGGCCGGTCACTATAAGGGCAACAACAGGGATACCAAGTATAAAGACCATCAATTAAGTATCACTGGCTATTTGAAAGTCTCACTTGTTATGCAAATTCTAAGGGCAGCAGCATATAGTTAACGGGTAGTACTAGTATCCCCTATTTACTGCGGGGTCAGGCCTTGAGAAAAATCATATCCCTCTTGATTTCACTTGAATTCTCTTCGTTTCTCCTCCTTCTATGATGAGACCATTCGACACTTTTTGGGAGACCCTCTCATAAGAGATTCCTGAAACCAAACTATCCAACTAAATTAAGAGTTTAGACATGCCCTGTTCATTCACCTTGCTATTGCCCTCCAATGTTTGGGCCACACCACGTTTTTGGTCTCTGTTTTTTCCTCTTTTATTAGACTGGGTGATGTTCTTGGTTTGAGGTCCACTTCAAAAGAACTTTTAGGGCAAAAAAAACTAAAGAAGATGATAGACGAGGCACCCATAATCTTTTTGCCTAGCCTACTGGAAATTGCCCCTTAAGAAATCCAATTCCAGCCTGTGTAGCTCCACCACATGCTTTAAACCAAAGTCAAGTAATAAGGTCCTGATGTGGAAATTTGAAAACCCATGCCTATCTTTGAAAGTCCACCGCACCACTTCATTATTGGAAATTGCCCTTAAGACATCCACTTTGATACTGTAAATTAATCTCACTTGATGCGGGCAATTTTAACCAAGTAGTAGTACCACCTCACCATTAAAAGGAAAAAAGACTTCAAAGTCTTCAAATTTTTTGAGGATTATGACACGCGATCTTTGGATCTATTAATCATGGTTAAACTCATTGTGTTAATTTTTTTCTTGCAAAGAAAACTTATTGCATTAATTAATTAGTTGATTAGTATTAACAAAGAATTTAGGATTACTCTATTTTAATTTTAGGTGTTTCTAATTTGTGTGAGAACATTTTTTATATTAATTCATATTGAAAAAATAAAGGTTGATTTTTATTTAATTATCTATCTAATTAAAATGATTCATATAATATTGATTGTGAAATTAAAATCAATCTTTGTATTTTTTAATATTTTTTAATTTTTAGTTTCATAATGAAAAATAACTATTTTTCATCCCTTAATCTATTACATTTACATGTTATGCAATTTAAACTTAAGATTTTTTATTTTAATTATTGAAAGGAGATTAGGATCGGGTTCCTTATGTTCCTGACATATTTTTTAATATTTTTTAGTACATCAAAGCATTAATCACTTGATATTTTAAATGTTTAAATCTCTAAAGTTGATCTCTAATTAAGGTTTTTATTTTTCAATATTAATTAATATCAAGAATATATTAATTATACTGTTAGAGTACAACTAAAAAAAACCTTTAATTTTTTATTGTAGACCAATAAAACCTACAAGGAAAGAAGGGAAAAAAGAACCTACATAAAAAGTGAAGAAAAAAACAAAAATTTTATCAAATTAATATCTATTAATATAAAAACTTTAATTTAAATTTAAATATCTAAATTTTTGTGATAACAAGCAGTGAAAAAAAGAGGGGCTAATTTCCTAATTATATGATGTAAGGATAAAAAAACCAAAAAAAAAAAAATCCGAATCCGGCCCAATATCTTGATCCAAACCGACTTTTAACGGATTTGCTAGTTGCTACTAACCCTACAAAAACCCTATCGACTCGCTTCTTTACTTCTCCCTGCCCCCTACCACAGACCCTCACTTTCGGAAGAACTTCGCAGCCGAAAGGTTATGACTTTCTTCCTTCTCTCATTCCGATACACGATCAATCTGTCATAACATATACAATTTTTTATTGCGGTATTTATGATGATTCCCTTGTGGTTTCTGTTTTCAGATCTGAAATTTGGGCGTCTCCTCTTCCCGTTAAGCCATGGCTCTGGTGAGTGTTGGATTTCGGTGTCTTTGGCAATTTAAGTTGTCAAAGAATGATTTTTGAAGTGGGTTTGATTGAAAATTCCAGTTCTTTCTTTGTTTGAATTTAGTTGGTTTGGATTATCTCCAAAACTCCTTACTTTGGATTACAGTTTCTAGTTGAATCTCTGTTAATCCATTCTTGTATTTTCTTTCTATTCATTTGAATTTTGCATGTAAGGTGCAGATTTTATAGGATTAAGTGTTGCTATTCTAATGATAGTAAATTGGTTTACTAATGTTAATAACCAATAGCAAGAGATTTGAGTTGTGCTGCTTTTTGTTTGCATTTATGATGTTAGAAGAAGGAACCCTTCTGTTTAAAAGTTCTATGTCCTTGCATAAGACACTCATTGCGGGTCTGAAAAAGAAAATTTGTGTGTCTTTCACATCAGCAACAATTTATTTTTCTGGTTTAACGTGGTTTTTTGATGCCCATTGCAGGTCTTGCATGCAGGGAAGATAAACAAAAATGCCTTTAAGGCACTGATTGCTGCAGAGTACAGTGGCGTGGATGTCAAACTAATTGAGAACTTTGAGATGGGTGTTTCAAACAAAACTCCTGAATTTCTAAAGATGAACCCTATTGGAAAGGTACTTGTCTGAGACTGGATTGTTGCTAAAGAACATTCTTTAGGCATATTTTGGGCTTGATTTACCTTCTCTTTGCTCTCCTAGGTTCCTGTGTTAGAAACACCGGAAGGTCCCATATTTGAGAGCAATGCCATTGCCCGTTATGGTGAGAATATTTTTTTACATTTAATTCCATTTTTTATGGTTGATTTGCCTTCTACATTCCCTTGTTGTCCTATAATGATTTCCCACAAACTCACAAAAGATTTGATTCCACTTGCTACAGTTACCCAGTTGAAGGCTGACAATCCTCTATATGGTTCTACTCTGATGGATTATGTAAGACTTTTTATAATCATGATCATTGTCTTTTTCTTAAATTCAAGAGACGTCTGGTAAATGTTTCTTAGGGTGCTACAATCTTCATTATGGTATATTTTCTTCATTTTTTAGGCCCGTATCGAGCAGTGGATTGATTTTGCATCAATGGAAATTGATTCTAACATTGGGAAGTGGTTGTATCCAAGATGGGGACTTGGTGTTTACCTTCCACCTGTGAGTTATTGGTTCTGTAACTTTCGTTTACGGTTTACACATCCTTTTGTAATTGTATTCTTTAACTTCTGTTAATGATTTCTCATTTAGGCTGAGGAAGCTGCAATTGCTGCATTGAAAAGAGCACTGGATGCACTTAACACTCACCTTGTTTCCAACACCTATCTGGTTGGGCACTCAGTGACTCTTGCTGACATCATCCTAACATGCAACCTCAGTATTGGATTCAGTCTAGCGATGACTAAGAGCTTCACCTCAGAGTTTCCTCATGTGGAGCGGTACTTTTGGACCATGGTTAATCAGCCTAACTTCAAAAAGGTGCTGGGTGAGATTAAGCAGGCTGAGTCTGTGCCTCCTGTTTCATCCGCAAAGAAGCCTTCCCAGCCAAAAGAATCTGCTAAGCCCAAGCCAAAGGAAGAACCAAAGAAAGAGGCCAAGAAAGAAGCCCCAAAGCCTGCTGAGGAGGAGGAAGAGGCACCAAAGCCCAAAGCTAAAAACCCTCTTGATTTGCTGCCTCCAAGTAAGATGGTTCTGGATGACTGGAAGAGGCTCTATTCTAATACCAAGACCAACTTCCGTGAGGTTGCAATTAAAGGTATTTTGTCTATCTCTTTGTTTTAGATGGGGTAAAGATCTATGACTTCTCTGTGCAAGTACCTATTGTTAACTTTTTAGATGATATTCTGTGATTTTTCATTCCACTTTATGTTTTTCATTTCCTGAAAATATTGATGTTTTGTCTGTTTGGCTTACTTCCAGAGTATATAGTAGGCTTTGCTTTATTACTAATTCCTATGCCCAAGCTTCCTCTGGGTTGTTTTCTTCTCTGGTTTGAAGAACAAACTTAATCTTGCCAGCCATTCTAATCTTCAATTTGTTATTATTTTCACCTGTTTATTGTAGGATTCTGGGACATGTATGATCCTGAGGGATACTCTCTCTGGTTCTGTGATTACAAGTACAATGATGAGAACACAGTCTCCTTTGTTACTCTGAACAAGGTTAGTGGATTCCTTCAGAGGATGGACTTGGCACGCAAGTATGCTTTTGGTAAGATGCTCGTTATTGGATCAGAACCCCCCTTCAAGGTGAAGGGATTGTGGCTTTTCCGTGGGCGAGAAATTCCCCAGTTTGTACTCGATGAGTGCTATGACATGGAGCTGTATGATTGGAAGAAGGTTGACATTTCAGATGAAGCCCAAAAGGAGTGTGTCAATCAGATGATTGAAGATTATGAGCCTTTTGAGGGAGAGGCTCTTTTGGATGCCAAGTGCTTCAAGTGAAAAATGACAAATTGTAGCTTTCAAGTGCTTTTTCTTTTGTCTGTCATCAGTGTTTTCGGTAGGGGAAAATGTGTTTCTTGTTTCAAATATACTTTTTTTTCATTTTTTGGCCAATTGTTTCAAATAGACTTCATAGACAGAATATCTTACAATTTTGTTCTTTCTCATTCTTGAGTTTCATTTAGTTATTATAAACCTAACTTCATTTACATTGGGGATGTTCAATTGCAAAGAGTGTTATTTCTATTTCCTATTTGGTTCCAGTTTAAATGATGACATTGATAGTCACCCAATTTGTTCATGCTGAATAGGGTTCTGCTTTTATTTGATTTGTTTCCGCTGCACCTCCATATCTGGGTTCGGGTAAATGAAAGCATGTTTTTAATCCCCTCTTTGTTTTAGAAAGATGTTTTCCCCAGGGATATTCTGTTTTGGTTCCATAAAACCCATTTTTGGCAATCAGTAGTGCACAAGATTTTATACAAAAACATAATTGCTTATGGTAACAAGTTATGCAAACAGGTATGAACTTATTCTGTGAAATAAGCAAGCGGTGCTAAGACATTTTTGCTCTGCTTCAGTGTTGGAAAGACAGTAAAACCACAGATTTTATACAAATACGTAATTGCTTTTGGTAACAATTTATGCAAACAGGTAACTTGTTTCATAAAATAAACACGTTTCGAGTACAGCAGTTTAAAACTAGTGATTACTGGTTCTACTCCGATAATTGATTATTATTGTTGCTAAAAATTCGAACACTACTTTTTATGGACTTAGAAGAAACAGCTAACATTTAATTTCAAACCACTATACTATCTTACAATTTCAGCTAGCAAATGCTGCTTTATTGATGCTTTTATTTATACGATAGGCCGAGCCTGCTTATTAGTCAGGAACTGTCAAAGGACGAAATCCATGCTGAAGAGCAGCTTCCCAAACTTTTTCAGTGTTGAAGACAGAGTTGCCACACTCATGAACATCCCACCCTTCTAAAGCATGAACAATTCCGGCCACACGTGCTGCACTCATCACCCTTCTTTGCAGCCAATTCTGTTTCACATTAAATATACACATACAACTAAGAATTCCACCAAAAAAAAGGGGAAAACTGACATCTAATGCTTGCAAAAATAGGAAAATGTTTGATATCAACCTCACAAGAGTGAAGGTTTTCAAGAGATTTTGGAGCCACCATGGCTGGTGTAGCGTGGTAATAGCAGTCTTCACGCACTTTTCTTGGTGGGACAGGTGAAAATGGGATGAATAGTGTTCCTTTCAACGCTTTCAGCTGCTCTTTCTCGGTCAGTCCATCTCCCGCTAACCATATCTGCAGTACTCAAGTAATTTTAAAGAGGTACATTTGCTGATTGAGAAGTTTCAGAATGCTGGATTTCTTAACCTTGTTCAATTTGTCATGAGAACAAAAGGGCAAAGATGAAATTAAGCTGTAACAAAATGGAGGCAAATGGTAGAAGTTTTCCCTTTTACCTTCTGATTGTAACTTTCCGAAAGAACCACATTAGTTCCCAACTCCTCATTTTGCTTTAACTTCATATATTCATTCTTATTCACTGTGATGACCTGCATAACACCAAACATTGGTTTTCCAATTATGAGACGTTTTAAGTGTCCATGTTTGAGACTCAAAACACTGCTTCAGCTCTTCAACATTACCTGAATACCCTTTTGGCATAAAGCAAAGGCGATGGTAGAAGCAACCTTGGAAAGCTTCCCTCTAAGTATTACTTGGGTTGTTTCCTTAGGAATGCTCTGTAACACAATGGCAGCTGCCAAGCTGCTTCCATCTACAATCTTGATTCTAAGCTGAGGGTGCCTTTGGATGTACAACTCTCCATTCATGTTAAGTTCTTCATGCTGCAAGCAACAAAATTTATTCATATTATAAATATGCTATCTTACGAAGTAATTAATGTCAAGAAGTACTAAATGGTTGCAACATCAATTAACTTGCCTGATTCCGTAGGCCCAAACTCAGAACCTTAGCTCCTTTCTTTTCAGCTTTTAGTATGGCTTCTTCAATCAAGTTATTGATTCCTTCTCTACGCGAATTTGATGAATACTAGAGAGAGAAACAGGTAGCATTTGAAAATGTAAGTGAAAACCATTTAGCAAAACAAAAATGGACTAATCAAGATTGTAGGAACCAAAAGATCAAATTATTACTTACTTGCATGTTGTATCTAGGTACTACCCAAGATTGTAGTTTGAGTTTCTTAAAGGCGTTTCTCTCTGAAACAAAGGCATGACCGTAAACCCAAGTCAAAATCATAGACCAGCATGTTACCGGCCACATGATGACCATCAGGTACCATTGAGAAGGTTTATAGGGGTAGGATGCCATGGAAGCCAATCCAAGCTGCAGGTGGTATATAGAATCTACTGTGGTTAAATGAGTTAAATGTACAACATCAGGTGACTCTTCTTGTCTTGCGAGTGAAGTTTCATAAACATCATCAGTAGACTCGTCGACGGTTCCATAGATGTAATCATACAATGGAACAAAAAGTGAATAATTTGTTCGAAACTGAGTATGATGCCTAGAGTGGAACCTGGAAACATAACAACTTTTATAAAGTGAAAACCTAAATGTTTGGAAAGGGAAGCAAAGGAATGAAGGAAAGAAAGAGACTTACGTGGGTGTATACAAGAGATACTTGAGAGGGGGAAAAACAGTGTAGATCCATTGTGGGATGAATTCAATGTTGCAGTGTCCCATGTCATTCATGAAGTCAATGTAAGTTATGTAGGCAAAAGCAGCTAAGATGGAAATTGTTCCTGATAATACCATTCCCATCAAAGGTAAAGCCATGAGCGAAAAGTACATCAATTGCTCCGCAAATGGATGGACAAGAGCTGCCAGAGTAGTAGTACTTTTGTCACATAAACAGACCATGAATCTTAGTATATACCATGATCTAATTGTTGTTTTCTTTACTTACAAGTAATTGGCTCAGTGACAATGGAAGAATGGTGATGGGAGTGGTATCGAGCATAGAGAAAATGGTTGTGCAACGCCCTGTGAAGCCAATAGTAGATGAACTCAACAGGGCCAATATGGAGTAGAAGTGCAAGTATGGCCCCATCTGTTCTCCACAAGGGAGGGTCATATGCCCTTAGCATTGCCTTATTCCATACGTAGAACAAAACTCCATTTAGTAGGATCTGGTCATCCCTGCCAAGCACAAAATTAACATTACTCAAAACTAATCAATTAACTGATTCAAACAGTTTCAGTTTGGTTTTGTTAATAACTATAAACTCTCTAATACTAACCAATTGCTTTCTCTGTCAACCTGCCCGAATTCAATGCCCTTATCAACAATCCTTTTTTTCCCTTTGGCCGTGACATATCGACAGAGAGAAATCCAGATTTGGTGGTGAACAACTCTAAAGAGAAGAAATGGGAATACAAGGAAGTCGAAAAGGTCTCTCTCATTCTCTTCCTTGGTTGCAAAGGAATACACGCTATGAAGCACAGATGGTACCAAAATCACGTACTACAACGTACAACCATATATACAAGCACAAACAATGTATATCAGTCAAAGAATGCACCTAATTTAAGCTCATATATATATAGCTCAATATACATGAAACTAATTAAATTCATTTGGATACCTTGAATTTCCCAAGAGGCTGCCATGGCCAGTCGGAGAGAATTCCAGGTCTAGTTGCCATTTCTCAGTGTATATCTGATGCATAACCTTATGATCAATATATAGTAAGTGGAGACCATTTCTATCCAGAACTGGGAGATACTTCTATCCATATAGTATTTGACACGTTGATACAAACTAAAAATAATCCAACATTATTAGAATTTTTTTTTCTTAGATGACTGGCCTTAGGATTCCCCTAAGTTTTGGCATTTTTATAAATTTTTTAATTTTAAATAAAAAAATTCATTTATTTTTATGTATTTTTATAATATATTATTATAATTACTAAAGATATAAGGAAAAAATTAATTTTAATACTATTAAAAAAATTTGTATTTTTTATTATCACTTTAAAACTTATCTTAAGAAAATATTATTAGTTTTAGATTTTTAATTTTAATTTTTAATAACTGTGAAATTTATAAAAATTAAAATTAAAAATCAAAAACTACAATTATACAAAGCAGTACACGACCCAAGTGCGTTGTGTAGATTGATCATGTACTGATGCAACCCAACCAACTGGTGCTAGAATTTTAGAGGCAGTAAAAATAATAATAATAATAATAATAATAATAATAATAATAATAAACTAAATCGACAGGGCAATAATGAGAAGCAAACAATATTCTTTTAAAAATTATTTCTTGTCTTAAAAAATTATATCTTATCTTATAATTTTACTTACATGTGACACAATTTTAATTTAAAGCATTTTTATCATTGCTAATATAAAAAGATTACTGTTAAATAAGCTAGGTTGTTTGCGAGACAAACAATACTTAGTACCATCATCGTAACTGCCAATACAATTGATTAAAATATCTTTCAATTATTTAATCAGAACATTTGGATGCGTAACAAATTTATTAGGTCGTCGGACAATCCAAGTAACATGGATTAGGAAAGAGAATACATTGATAGTAACTCAATAAGATCTAAAACTAGAGTAAATAAATGAAAAAAATGTTTTGCAGGTTGTTTTACTAATTTTTTTATAAAATATATTTAAAATTTTATTTTTTAAATAATATTTTTAAAAATTAATTGGTGAATTGAAAGTTTTATTTATATATATCATATTTATCAATTTTTAAATTATTCTAATATATTTAACCACTTTATTAATTATAAAAAAATTTAACATCATCAAATATGTATCACTTCATAGAGTTTATTTAATAAAAAGATTATAAGTATTAGAATAATATAAATTTTTTTTGAAATATGAATAATATGAAAATTAACATATATGATTTATATAAATAAAATTTTTAATTTAACGATCAATTTTTGAATGTATTAATTAAAAATTAAAATTTTAAACAAGTCCTCTAAAAAAATTTTAAGAAAACGAACTATATACTCTAAAATATCCCCTAAGTGGATAAAATAACCCTAAAAAAAAAAAAAAGGTAACTTAACAACCATTAAAAAAAATTAATATATACGTATAACATAATTTCATAGATATCAAAA